TCAGCGACTATTTTATCCAATAAATTTGCATTAAAATCCAAATGCTGTTAATTGTGTTACTTTACCCTTATACTGAGATAATGAACATGCAATGTCTAACTTGCGTTTACCCATGATAATGTTGCACTGATTATATAATTTTGAGATTTGTTTCCATTTGCTTGGTATTTATACACAGCAATTGGTACTTCAAAGGTAATCAATTTTCTCTGGGTGGCAAAACTATTTATTGGTATATTTAAAAAAAACAACAAAACATAAGGAAGGATTAGTCGTTCAATTACATGTAGCTGTTTCCATTTGTGTCTTCACAGGCCAGTCAATTGTAGGTATAGCCAGTGGTAGAATGCTTGAATATTATCATAGCATACCATGTATAGGCCAGATATCAACATTAGCAGATTATGATGTAACATTGCACTGTACAGACTGGTTTGTCTATTGGGAATATAGGTCTGTGTATAAGTCTGTGACTCCCTTTCATGGTCCCATTGAAGTTCTCCACTCCAAATCTATGATTGTATGTACATGTTAAACTGCCAAAAAAATCACCAACTGGTATTTTTTGTCCCCAATAAGGAAAAAACATAATCGCAATTTGCGACACTGGCGAAGCCCAGGACTATCCCTGCTAAGGTTATTGTTTCCTTAAGATGTGCCCTAAACTTACATCGTGCCCATTGCCGAGATACCTGGCTTTCAGAGTTTTATCACAATATTAAGCCTGCTACAAGTAGACCACAATGTATTACAGGGGTCATGCTACCAGGCAAAGTGGGCGAAAAATTTGCCTGAGAAGCATAAACTTCGCCTTCTTTTAGGAAAGCAAAAACGGCTTCGCCCTCTGATTTTTCAGACGTAAAATGACTGTAGATTACGACCTTGAGAAGCCCCTTCGCTGGCACTGTTGTAACCCAACACCAAATGTATTTACATGGGGTTGATACCAAACAGCTTATGACGATAAAGAAATTCTTGCACATTCACATGCAAGTATTAATAGCTAACTGACCATTAACCCCTTTCCAGAGCAAGATATCACTGCTTAATTTCATGAAGTTGGGCCTACTGTGCTATGATAAAAATGTACCAAATTCTGTTTCAAAATTTAAACATCAATATGCAAATAGTAATTTGCTTTAAAAAAATATTATCGGTGAAGAGCGTTTTCTAATTTGTTTCTTTTTTTTAATTAATGGAAATTTTAACGGGTGTATTTGTGTATTTCCTGTATAATCAGTTTGAAACAGTAAATGAACTTTTAATGGCGGACATAGCTGCTTATATGATATACAACTTCATTAAACTGTGAAAATATGAAAAATATATATAGTAATGAAGCAAATAATAATTAACCAATGCATGTCGTTATTACCAGTAGGGAGACAAGCAATAAATATGTAGTCCTATTAATGAATTTTTGTAATGAAGCAAGAAAGTGTGTAGTTCAAGAAATGCCCTCCATCTAAAAATAGATGCAATCGCACTGCGAGACGATTTCTTGGATTTTCAGTTTGGGGAAAAAAGGGTCCAGTTTAGTTATATATCGACTTTAGTGCTTTAGTGTGTTGTCTATGAAAAGTTAGTAATGTTTGATCGGGAGCAATGAAATCATGATGAACAGTATGGTTTCAAGTCACTTGTGCATTTATTCCTATGTACTTCTATTAGGGGATGTTTCAAAGAAAGCTAGAAATCTTTTTGACTGCAACTGTACACAAAACTTAGGAAAATAAGTGATAGTTTATTAAGCATTTTTACCAACTTGCAGTTACAAGACTCTAATCTTGTTACTGCTATTAGTGACAATTAATTACAATGTATTGCTTCTGATGTGCTTTTTAAGCCAAACAGCCAAAATACACTGCATTTACTTAAATTCAAACACACACATATACTAAGTATGAATAGAATGGGTATAAATATAATTTTTTTTATACATGTAAAAAATATGTTGATGCTCACAAATAACATATTTTTCAACTTTAAAATAAGGCTTAAAACTTAAAAGCATACCAAGAAATAGAGCACATCATTAAAATAAGAAAATACAGCTCTCTCTATATATCTATCGTGTTTGTTTTGGTCTGACTTCTCTGTTTAACTCCCACGTCTCCCTGTTTAGCTCCCACTTCTTCCTGTTCTGACCAAAAGGAGAAGTCACTTCTCCCTAAAATTTAAGTCTAGCTTGATCCCTGTATTATACTGGTTAATGCAGTTTTAACTTCTGTGGCAAAAGTATTGAAAACAGTCTCATATTTAACAGATCGAAAGACATACAGTGATCCAAATTCGTAGTGTAACAGATAGAAAGATTAAAATGATTTGGCCTGAATGAATCTGGTACGGTCCTACCTCAAGATCATCTGGAGTGGCAAAAACAATCTTGCAAGGCACAGTGTGAGGATTCAGATGAAGAGGCAGACAGAAAAAGAGGTGGAAAGACACCATTAAGGAGTAGACAGACATAGGATTTGGGGATTCCCAACAGGAAGCAGTGAACTGGTTAAGAAGGAAAATTGGTTGTAAAGTCAACTGTGGTGCCCCAATGACCTCTTGGGTAAAGGGATTGATGATGATGATGATAAATCTGTTAACCATGTGGTACAAATTAAAAGGCACTGCTTATAGTGAGTTGGTTCTTGTGTTAAAAATGTTTACCAATGTTTATGAATGTTTGTTGAAATTAACAGAATATGGATTGAAAATGCTACAAAGAAATGCAGAGATATCACAAACATGTTTAATAATATTGTGGATACATCATCTAAGTAATGCAGGTGACAGTGACTTAGATTGGTGCAGAGAACACAATCAAGCTCGTATCAACTCACTGTGCAAATTTGATGCAAGTAGTTATTTTGGTGTAAAAGCAACACAGCACACAAGTAGAAAATGATAAATTGCATACAAGATGCCCGATCTTTATATAACTATTCAAGGGAGTCATAAAATTCACTCATGTTATGCATAAGCTTAAATCTGAAAGATATTCTAACGAGGCTGTGTCAACTGTATACAAACATGGAATTCAGTAGTGTGAAAGCAATCATATTTATAACTGATTCTCTGTAATAAAGAAATAAAAGTGAAACCATTTACCAGTTGGCTATAATGACCATACTAACATTACAACAGGTGAAGTAGTATAATGAGGAGTTTTATCAAGAGTACATTTATAATTTCCATAGTTGATGTAATATATTGCTTATCTAGTGGCAAAAAATGTAAAAATGCAAGGAATTCATTTGCCTCCAGTAGTTGGAGTGAGTTCAACAAGTGTACGGTAAATATTTGGCTGAACTAAACAGCTTACAAAATTCCACCCACTATGCCTATCTTAACATAAGACTGAATTATGAGTACGTCATCTGCTTTCAGAATTTGTATACTAGTGTACAATAAATGAAACAATATCTTAAAAAAGATGCTTTTTATTGAAAAAGCTCTTTTTCCAAAGAAATCAAATATAACATTGGCAATGACAACTTTTATTAATAATTAAGGCCATCAGTCCAAACAAAATTACAAATCATACAACACAACAGCAATACATACCAGAGCATTTCATGGCCAAGTTAGACTGATACTTACAAATTAAGAATCCTTGGAAACAACTTCTCACATTAGTATTTACAATAAGTTGGAATAAATCTGACTTGTCAAGTATCCAGAAACTATATTTTTGAAAAACTAGAATGTAAGACAACATTTCAGATAATATCGTCAGCAACATTTGCCTGCAGAAGTGAATACTCTTTTTCTTCTGCAACTGACAGAATGATGGAAGAAATTTTGGTTCTAGAATCCAAATAACATCAAAAGACCACACCTTTAAGATATTCTATATTTAAAGTTTCAAATATGGAATTTGATACATCATTTTACAGGTGTTTAATAGAGTCTTCCTTTTTCAATAATCAAACTTTGAGCAGAACATGTAAGATGAGAGTGTTAAACTCATTTGCTATGGAGGGCCAGATTTGATATAGATGTACTTAACTTGGACTATACATATCACTAACAAAACACCTGGTATGTGGGCTGGACTAATGAGCCTGGTATGCCATATCCTGTCCTTGGGTTGCATGTTGCATGACGTGTTATTGCTTCTATGAACTTGAAATGGAGACCAATAGTAAAGTAATATTTAACATTCAACTGGAATTTAAAGTAACTGCCTATAATGATGAGCTTTCGTACAGTATGTCCATAAACAATTACTGTAATAAGGTCTCTTGCAAATATTGAACAAATTTAAAAATTAAGATGGGTTCTTTTACCTGATATGAGCTGTCAATGTATTTTCCATGCTTTTGATAATCTATTGCAAACAATTAATCTTATTTCTGAATTCTTATGCATAATGCAACAAGGTGTAAAATCCTTTAATGTATTTTTACATTTATACCATTTGTGAATATACATGAACTACTCTATAAAATGTTGTGCATTGTGTTGGACCTTTAAATGATTTCCTATGTCCCGATTTGAGACCAAGATACTGAAGTGATAATCAGTTCACTGGAAAACATAAGGTGTGGCAGAATAATGTCAGATTGGGATTGTATATCTGAAACAACATTAACATTGTCTCTAAAGAGATATGTAACCAGTCTTATTTTTCCCAACAATGCATAATGTTTCCAGATCACAAATAAATGGCTGTCACCTAAAACCAAAATAGCTAATTCTTTTGCATTTGCCTGTTGGCCCTAAGTACATCTCCAGGACTTGGGTATGGTCTTTGTTGAAACAAAGGCCCTGAGGCTGTTGTATCCACACCAGTTTTTGCTTCTCCACGTCTATCAAGACCAGTAGACCAAGACCCTCTGAAATTTAAAGAAAAAGACTTTGTTAAAATATACATATTATACTACAAGTCATACTTGTCATGTAGGTGTTCAAATTCTTTAAAATAAAAAAAAATATTGGTGTAATTTTTAGAATTTGATTACATATACCTTTAAATGGTGATTATACATTGTAAGTCTTTGGTATGACTCAACTGTGGATTGAACCCACGACCTCCCGCATCAGAGGTGGACACTCTAACCACTAGGCCACCAGAGCGGCTTTACAATTTGATTACACATACCTTTAAATGGTGATTATACACTTTATTGAAATCTCTATTAATCCATATTCCTTAGAAGGTTATTAGATACACATCCCAACAAATACATATGATATAATCAATGTTCAATTATGTGGACGTTTTGAATGAGATCACCTGATTTTGTGACCTAGTACAACCTGGACTGACTTGCACACTATGTCACAATGAAAGCTGTATGCATTGGAAATAATTCATGTTATCATGCTATCTGTATTGATTAGACCTAACATCTTATCTGACCCATTTTTGTGCCTGACACTGCAATCAATAATTTTCATCTCTAAGTTTTTGTAACAATCGTGACCGAATACACTTTGGTTAAACTATATTTGTGTTAAATTTTAGAACAATATTTGAGTAAATGTGCCTACATGATACATGACTGTTGATATACAATGTGATAGTACTGTATGTCACCTTTGTAAAAAAAGGTCATATCCAAGTGAAATTTGCAAGGATTAATTCTTGTAGAAAGAAACTCAAAAGAAAAAGGGCAATTTTACAACCTCTGTAAAATGGATAAAATACTGCCTCTTCAAATAGCCTCTAAGTAAATTACCATCTTCTTTTCTAGCGGAGCTGTCTACTTCAAAAAAACCTAAAGAGCTGTTCCATGGGACCCAGGAAAGGCAGTTTTTTTAAAAATATATGGCTGGGTGCTATGATTTAACAATGTTCATATTAAAATAATGAGAAATTTAAAACTGCATCTATGGGTGGGTACCCCACTTTAAAAGTGCCTTCCCTGGGTCCCATGTATTTTTTAATGGAACAGCTCTAATACATTTTTTGTTATAGTGTCATGCCAACTTTTAATTCTGAACCGGCTACTTCAAAAGATAATTAGAAGACAGATAGTACTGTATGTCAACTTTGTAAAAAAAAAAGTCATATACAAGATAGATAAGTAAAATGCTTGCTTTATAGCATGGTAAGAAATTAACAATCAGTAAAAATTCCTATATTTACCACAGTTGTTTAATTAGTTTGATTTCATGAAGCAATATAGTCCATACATGACTCAATTTTTTTGGTACAATGACATACTTGATGAAAAAAGTGAGATATAAGTGTAATAATTTCAAATTTATAATGTTCAAAATAGTCATTTTAAACTTGTTTATGCTAATTAGTGTTTCATTGGATGAAATGTCAGACAAAATGAATAATTTTAATAGTAACAGACTCTGTAATGTCTACTGAATTGTAATTCACTTCAGATTGGCCTATACAAATTAAAATTTTCACTTGATTTTGAAGGATCATGTGTCAATTTTCAATTTGAATTCTAAAGACAGCAATGTAATTTTTGGCATTATAATCATCAAATTAGCACAAAAACTGACCAAAGAGATGTACACCCCCCCAAAAAAAACTTTCCACTCACTCTCTGAAGAGAACATCAACATTTTACATAGAATATTACTGCATTATTTTGATATAAAAGGGGATGGAGTAATCCCACAAAATCAAAACATGTGAAATGAACTTTGCTTTAGCAATGTTAAAGCAAAATCAGACACTCAATTTTTTTTCTTTCTCGAATCACCATCTGGTGTGCAGAAAACCATATTGCAACACAAAGTGCTGGTGGTTTTGATGTACAACTGCCATTTACAACAAAACTTAGTTGCTATGCAATCTTATTGATGCTATAATGAAATTTACCTATTACGTTAATTTATTTCCCAAGTAAAATAAATTAAAAACTACATATACTTAATTGGTAATTAAACCAAAATCACTTGATCATATATTGCTCAAATGATATGCTAAATTCTCAAGCCTTCACTTGCCTGCAAGATCTTAAACCTGAACAATCCGAATTTCAAACAAAAATATATTGGGCTCAAAACACTTAGAGCAGTGTAGATACCTAAGTATACCAAAAATCAATTTTACATCAAATTGTTGATGCAAGCTGGTTTCAAGCATGGTTACCTATGAATTTTAGTCTGCTATATTTTAAAAGCAGATATGAACCGCTCCAGTGGCCTAGTGGTTAGAACGTCCGCCTAGGATGTGAGAGGTCATGGGTTCGATCCCCGGTTGAGTCATACCAAAGACTTACAAAAATGGTACTAACAGCTGCCTCGCTTGACGCTCAAAATTAAGATGTTAGTGTTAAGGTTGGTCGGCCTGGTGTCAGGATAATGTGACTAGGTGGCACATCCTGCTACATGTCTGCAGCATGATGCCCCAGTGCTAGAGATCATTATAAACTGCCACACTACCAGACTTGCGGTATGACTGAAAAAATGTTAAAGCTGTGTTAAAAATCACAATCGCACAATCACATTAAAAGCAGACCCCAGACAGTTATCCATATAAAGTATTTATTAAATAATACTGATGGGACAAATCAATCTAATGTAATAAAAAAAATGTCTGATCAGAACAATGGAAATCAACATCTACATAAAATGGGGGAGGGGCACGGTGTATTTTTAATTCTTCTTAACATTTACTTACAATGTGAGTAGTCTTCTGGTTTCATTGCTTGCTGCCTAAATTAAAATCAGGTCAACATACATCTTGTTGATCTTACCTTGGCACATCCGAGTAAGCAGCTGGATCCATGGGGTCTAGATCAGCTTTCTTTCTCTTGTCCCTTCCCCTGCCCCTTCTATCTTGCCTTCGTCGCCTGTCACGCTCATATTCATCTTCAGAGTCCGATAATGAGCTGCTACTGCTCTAGAAAATGCCAGAATAAGAGAGTTCATTTGTACTGTAATAACATTGTGCATTTGCACAGTATATTCAGATCATAACAAAATTAATGATGAAATTATACAACTGCAAAATAACCTGGTGTAAAATAAAGTAACATCTTGGAATGATAAAGCACACATTGGAATGATAAAGCAACATATTGCAATAATAAAGCAACATATTGGAATGATAAAGCAACATATCACTATGATAAAGAAACATTGCAATGATAAAGCAACATATCGTAATGAAAATGCAACATATTGCAATGATAAAGTAACATATCACAATGATAAAGCAACATATTGCAATGATAAAGCAACATATTGCAATGATAAAGAAACATTGCAATGATAAAGCAACATATCTCAATGATAAAGCAACATATCACAATGATAATGCAACATACTGCAATGATAAAGCAACATATCACAATGATAAAGCAACATATTGCAATGATTAAGCAACATATCACAATGATAACACAACATACTGCAATGATAAAGCAACATTGCAATGATAAAGCAACATATCTCAATGATAAAGCAACATATCACAATGATAACACAACATAATGCAATGATAAAGCAACATATCACTATGATAAAGCAACATATTGCAATGATAAAGAAACATAGCAATGATAAAGCAACATATCTCAATGAAAAAGCAACATATCACAATGATAACACAACATAATGCAATGATAAAGCAACATATCACTATAATAAAGCAACATATTGGAATGATAAAGCAACATATCACTATGATAAAGAAACACTGCAATGATAAAGCAACATATCACTATGATGAAGCAACATATTGCAATGATAAAGCAACATATTGCGATGATAATGCAACATATTGCAATGATAAAGAAACATTGCAATGATAAAGCAACATATTGCAATGATAAACATATCTCAATGATAAAGCAACATATCACTATGATAAAGCAACATATTGCAATGATAAAGCAACATATTGCAATGATAAAGAAACATTTCAATGATAAAGCAACATATTGCAATGATAAAGCAACATATCTCAATGATAAAGCAACATATCTCAATGATAGAGCAACATATCACAATGATAAAGCAACATATTGCAATGATAAAGCAACATATCTCAATGATAAAGCAACATATCTCAATGATTAAGCAACATATCACAATGATAATGCAACATATTGCAATGATAAAGCAACATATTGCAATGATAAAGCAACATATTGGAATGATTAAGCAACATTGCAATGATGAAGCAACATATCTCAATGATAAAGCAACATATCACAATGATAACACAACATAATGCAATGATATAGTAACATATCACTATGATAAAGCAACATATCACTATGATAAAGCAACATATTGCAATGATAAAGCAACATATTGCAATGATAAAGAAACATTGCAATGATAAAGCAACATATCTCAATGATAAAGTAACATATGACAATGATAACGCAACATATTGCAATGATAAAGCAACATATCACTATGATAAAGCAACATATCTCAATGATAAAGCAACATATCACTATGATAAAGCAACATAATGCAATGATAAAGCAACATATCACTATGATAAAGCAACATAATGCAATGATAAAGCAACATATTGCAATGATAAAAAACATTGCAATGATAAAGCAACATACTGCAATGATAAAGCAACATATCACTATGATAAACCAACATATTGCAATGATAAAGCGACATATTGCAATGATAAAGCAACATATTGCAATGATAAAGCAACATATCACTATGATAAAGCAACATACTGCAATGATAAAGCAACACATCACTATGATAAAGCAACATATTGCAATGATAAAGCAACATATTGCAATAATAAAGCAACATGCCACTATGATAATGCAACATATTGCAATGATAAAGCAACATATCACTATGATAAAGCAACATATTGCAATGATAAAACATATCACTATGATAAAGCAACATATCACTATGATAAAGCAACATAATGCAATGATAAAGCAACATATTGCAATGATAAAAAACATTGCAATGATAAAGCAACGTATCTCAATGATAAAGCAACATATCACTATGATAAAGCAACATATTGCAATGATAAAGCGACATATTGCAATGATAAAGCAACATATCACTATGATAAAGCAACATATTGCAATGATAAAGCAACATACTGCAATGATAAAGAAACATTGCAATGATAAAGCAACATATTGCAATGATAAAGCAACATGCCACTATGATAATGCAACATATTGCTATGATAAAGCAACATATTGCAATGATAAAGCAACATAATTGCAATGATAAAGAAACATTGCAATGATAAAGCAACATATCTCAATGATAAAACAACATATCACAATGATAACACAACATTCTGCAATGATAAAGAAACTTATTGCAATGATAAAGCAACATATCACTATGATAAAGCCAAACATAGCAATGATAAAGCAACATATCGCTATGATAAAGCAACACATCACAATGATAAAGCAATATATCACACCGATAAAAAACATTGCAATGATAAAGCATCATATTGCAATGATAAAACAACATATCGCAATGATAATGAAACATTGCAATGATAAAGCAATATATTGCTATGATAAAGCAACACATCACAATGATAAAGCAACATATTGCAATGATAAAAAACATTGCAATGATAAAGCAACATACTGCAATGATAAAGCCACATATCACTATGATAAAGCAACATATTGCAATGATAAATCAACATATTGCAATGATAAAGCAACATATTGCAATGATAAAGCAACATATCACTATGATAAAGCAACATACTGCAATGATAAAGCAACATATTGATATTGCAATGATAAAGCAACATATTGCAATGATAAAGCAACATATCTCAATGATAAAGCAACATATCACTATGATAAAGCAACATACTGCAATGATAAAGCAACATATCACTATGATAAAGCAACATATTGCAAGGATAAAGCAACATATTGCAATGATAAAGAAACATTGCAATGATAAAGCAACATATTGCAATGATAAAGCTACATGCTCCTATGATAATGCAACATATTGCAATGATAAAGCAACATATTGCAATGATAAAGCAACATATCTCAATGATAAAGCAACACATCACTATGATAAAGCAACATATTGCAATGATAAAGCAACATAATTGCAATGATAAAGAAACATTGCAATGATAAAGCAACATATCTCAATGATAAAGCAACATATCACAATGATAACACAACATTCTGCAATGATAAAGAAACTTATTGCAATGATAAAGCAACATATCACTATGATAAAGCCAAACATAGCAATGATAAAGCAACATATCGCTATGATAAAGCAACACATCACAATGATAAAGCAATATATCACACCGATAAAAAACATTGCAATGATAAAGCATCATATTGCAATGATAAAGCAACATATCGCAATGATAATGAAACATTGCAATGATAAAGCAATATATTGCTATGATAAAGCAACACATCACAATGAAAAAGCAAGATATTGCAATGATAAAAAAACATTGCAATGATAAAGCAACATACTGCAATGATAAAGCCACATATCACTATGATGAAGCAACATATTGCAATGATAAAGCAACATATTGCAACGATAAAGCAAAATATTGCAATGATAAAGCAACATATCACTATGATAAAGCAACATACTGCAATGATAAAGCAACATATTGCAATGATAAAGCAACATATTGCAATGATAAAGCAACATATCACTATGATAAAGCAACATATTGCAATGATAAAGCAACATATCTCAATGATAAAGCAACATTGCAATGATAAAGCAACATATTGCAATGATAAAGCTACATGCTACTATGATAATGCAACATATTGCAATGATAAAGCAACATATTGCAATGATAAAGCAACATAATTGCAATGATAAAGAAACATTGCAATGATAAAGCAACATATCTCAATGATAAAGCAACATATCACAATGATAACACAACATATCGTATTGATAAAGAAACATTGCAATGATAAAGCAACATATCACTATGATAAAGCAACACATCACAATGATAAAGCAATATATCACACCGATAAAAAACATTGCAATGATAAAGCATCATATTGCAATGATAAAGCAACATATCGCAATGATAATGAAACATTGCAATGATAAAGCAATATATTGCTATGATAAAGCAAAATATTGCAATGATAAAGCAACATATCTCAATGATAAAGCAACATATCACAATGATAAAGCAACATATCACAATGATAAAAACATTGCAATGATAAAGCAACATAACGCAATGATAAAGCAAGATCGCA